GGCCTGCGGACCAACAAGGGACTCGAGTCCGCATGGACCGCGCGGAGCTTTGGGCCCTGCTCCGCAAGTGGGACGCCTGCGGCGCCTTGTACCTTACCCCAGCTTTGGATCTCAGCCGGGAAGAGGCGTGCGGGGCATTCCGCGTCCCGAAGGACGCCGATTTCGATATCGTCTGATCCTCAACCCTACAGTGGTCAACAGTCGGTGCCCCTCGATGTCCACGAGCACTCATCGGCTGGGCCAAGGGTTTCTGCCGTGCCGACTCGGCCTCAGCCCCAGAGAGTGGTCAGTCACCTCCTGTGGCGATCGGAGGGAATGTTACTACTCAAGCAGTGGCGAAGCGTCCTGGCTCGCCGATAGCCCTACCAAACAATGTTCTAAGAACCTTTTGTGGTTGCCACGAAATGTTCTTAGAACATTTCTGGTAGGGACTGTCTTGTTTTAACACATCGGGTGTATGTTCTAAGAACATTGCTTTTGTTCTTAAAACATTTTGGGGTTCCAAGAACATTTCGTAGGATAACTATAGGAATGCCAGGACGGTCGGTCCCTGCTCAAACTACACCTTCCGAGTCCAGCCCGCCCGCGCGCGCGGCAACGCGTGGCGGGTCAGACTTCCAGGGGACTTGTTCGAGTCATTCTGGACCTGGCGCCCGGAGCTAGCAGGCGCGGCCGTCGCGCCTTGCATCAGTGCTCCAGCCATGGGCGACAGCATGGCCGCGGAGGTGACCAACGCAGCCCACGAGGGGGTTCTGCGCAGCTTCGGGGCCCTCCAATCTCGCGAGCAGGCGGTGCACCTTCCCCCCTTCCCCAGGGGGGATTTCGCCAAAGTGCGGGTTTAGGGGTTAGGGTTTAGGGTTTAGGGTCTACTAGGCGTGGCCACGAGTACACCGAGACCGCGAACCCACCTGCGGTGGCCGTCACTCCCACCCGCAAGCCACCCCACCATAAAGATCATCTCTCCCCTCCGTAGAACCGGTTCAGTGGCGACCATGCGGGTTTCCAGAGCCACCCGCGGCGAGGCGCCACCCCGGGCCCGGACGACCCCGCCCCGCCTCGAGGTAGCGAGGTTTTCGCTGCTCGCGACCGCGGTGATCCCGAGCTCGGGCTGGCGCAGCGCCCTGGGAAGCGCGCCCGCAGCGAGACCCACGAGCCTGTCGTGGGCGCCGAGGTCGAGGGGCGAATCAAGGGGAACAAAAAGTGGCATAAACATAAAAACTCGGAGGTCCGCGCGGATTCCTCGGATCGGCGCTGGGGCCCCCCGGCGGCGCCTCTGGCGCCGCCCCTGGCGCGCTTCGCGCGCCAGGGAGGGGGGGTCCAGCGCCGATCCGAGGAATCCGCGCGGACCTCCGAGTCTTTATGCTTACGTCACTTTTTGTTGCGGCACCGTCTGCGCTCCGCTTGTCCGCGCGGTGGCGCTCTGTGGGCTGACGCTGGGCCAGGTTGACCTCGGCTCTTCGGCGCGCGCCGTGCCGGGGCGTCCCTCGTCGGCTGCTGGGCGCGGGCCTCTTTGCTCCGCCGCACGATGCTGCCTCTCCTCGCGCACGTCTGCACCTTCCTCTTTCGGGTTGCGGCAGACGACGGCACGGGGTACAGTCGGGGCCCTGAAGAAGGAACTTGGGGAGGGGCTCCGCGTTCCTTAAGTGTTTCGCAGCTTGTCTCAGGTTTTCCTTATGTTTTCGATGGGAAATCTAAGTTTCACCCATGGAAAAAAGGGGCCTCGTTCCTTATTTAGGGTTCCTTAGGTCAACGCCCCGACTGTACGAGCTGCCTTCGGCCGTGCTGGACGAGATCGGCTTGCCCCTTCTTAGCCTTCGCGGCAATGACCGACCTTCGAGCGGCCCCATGCCCCGAAGGGTTCGGCGCGGATGCTTCCCCCAGCCATGGGTGGGTAGTCCGAGCAACCATTAGTCCACAACTGTCCGCGGAGTTGTCGCGGAGATCCGAACATGGAGGCTGGCTCATTCGGCTCCAAGACCGGCACCTCCTCCTCCTCCTCCACCTCCTCCTCCTCCTCCTTCCTCCTACCTCCTATCTTCTCCTCCTCCTCCCTCCTCCTCCTCCTCCTTCTCCTCCTCCTCCTCCTTCTCCTCCTCCTCCTCCTCCTTCTCCTCCCCCTCATGACGTCTACCCCCGGAGGTCTCGACCCCTTCCCTGGGACCGGTTTTTCGTCCCGGGTCGTGTTCTCACGGCCCAGGGGCCTCTGCGAGGGGCCCCAGAGTCCGAAAACCGCCAAAAATTGTCCATCATGATGCTTGCCGCGAGGCGAGCATGTATGGGGGCAGGGCTCGACCGAAACCGTGTTCAGGCGATCTTGTGGGCCGTTCTCGCTATCCGCAGCGAAGGCGCGGAACGAAGACGACGCGACGACAAACGAAGACAAACGAGAACGATAGCCACCGTTTTGATCGAGCCCTGACGTCTGGGGCCTGTGGCCCCCGGCAAGGGGAGCCCTCGGGGCCCCCCAACTTTGGGCCGCCTCGGGGAGGCCAGCCATACGCAGAAGGAGGGTCGGGTGTCGGGAATGTCCCTCGAGAAGAGGCAAATTCAAAAATAGGCACAAAACAAATACGGGGACGATGTTTCCATTCTTTTTTACGCTTCATGAGTATATTTGGCGCGTTGTGTGCGTTTCTTCCAAAATCCGCTTGTATCGGGGGAGCGTAAGACCCGGGTTTGCCAGGACTCGGGTTCGCCATCGTTTTTTGACGACCGCGATTCGGATTTTGACGAGTAGGAGTTTCGTGGGATGTCTGCAGCGGGAGGCCTCGTCAAAATGCAGGCTCGGCCTCGTCATTTTTTTGACGACCTCGTCGGGGATTTCCGAGTCCCCTGTACCCGGGTCTTACGCCCCCCTGATTGTAGGAGGACATGCCCGACAGAAGGGTAGGGGTAGGGGGAAGGCTCCCTAGAAGCACCCCTGCTTCTTAGAGGGCGCGGGCCCTGTCTATCGACGTGGGGCCCGCGCCCTCTAAGGAGCAGCCTCCGTCTAAGAAGCCTTGCAGTCGACCCGCATAATTATCAGGAGGAAAAGAAACACACAGACACAATAAATCCTCGATTCCCTAGAAAATATGGGAAAATATGGGAAGTGGTTGGGAAGACAGAAACCCAGAAAATATAGGAAAATATGGGGAATAGTTTTATTTGTGTGTATTTATTTGTGTGTCCTGGGGCCCCTTCAAATTAGCAAGGGTGAGCGACTTTCCAAGGGTGCCCTGGCATCCTTGCCCCTTCGGCCCGTCCTCAGCGATTTGCGCTGGCCAACCTCGCTCGAAATAAACGCCAACCTGGCCCTCCAAGGCCCTTGCATCCTCACCGCGCATCCTTCTCATACGGGTTGACTGTACCCCCTCCTCAGGCTCCCCTCTGCGCGCCGCCAAGCCTGGGGCCCCCAGCGAGGTCAGGAGGGAAAAACACACAGACACAATTGACCGTCGGTTCCCCAGAACATGTGGAAACATATGGGCAGTGTGGGGGGGGAAGACAAAAACCCAGCAAACATGGGTAAAGATTGGGGAATCCTGCTATTTGTGTGTCCCAGACCCCCTCGAGTAATGAAAAAATCATGACGGGAGGTTTTCCTTCATTTCGGCCTCCGGGGGCCCTCACCGGGCCTCGGGAGCGTCAAAAAACGACTCAGGATGCAAAGCCGGTCATGGGGAAAGGGTCGGGACCTCTGGGGGTCGACGTAATGAAAAAATCATTACGTCGGGGGTCTGGGATATTGATTTGTTTGTCCCAGGGCCCCTGACGAGGGGATCCCTCCGGGCCCCGGCCATGGGGCCGCGCTCGAGCGGGGCCGGGGGCGGGGCGCTCCCTGGATGGGGCGGGCGAGGGGCCCGCCCTGCGAGGGCACGGGGCAGCCCCGGGGCCATCGAGGGCCCGCGGGCGCGACAGCCCGAGGGCGCAGGACAAAAAAACCGCGGGTACACCTCCGAGCTCCAGCGTGTTGAAAACATCACGACGGCGGTTTTTCGCAGATTTCGGCCCCTGGGGGCCTTCGCCGGGCCTCGGGACCGTCCAAAAACGACTCAGGATGAAAAACCGGTCCTGGGGAATGGATCGAGGCTTCTGGGGACCGCGTATTGAAAAAATCACTGCGTCGGATCTCTGGGTACCTCCGAGATCCGACGCAGCGAAACAAAATGCAGCATCGTAAAAAGTCACGCCCGGGCCCCAGACCCTCTCTTTATGCGTCCTCTTTTCCGAGCTGGGTCCGTCCGTGAGGGTCCTTGGGGCCCGAAAGCCAGCGAAAGTGGTGAAAACATTGCAACGCCAGGAGCTCAGGGACATTGGATGTCCCATGCCAAGGAACACCTTGCTTGCCTCCAGGGTGCCCTGGGCTTCTTGGGCTCCTTTGGTTTTGCCATGGAAAGCGCAACTTGCCCACGCCAGAACTCAGTACACGTCCGGGGATCTCAGTGTTGGGTTTCTTGTGGGAGGCTTCTTGCGGTTGAGCTCCTACTGTACCCAGACATGCGACGTCCTGATTATTTCAAGACGGGGTCCCTGGAAGTCCCGACCCTCTCCCTGGGACCAGTTTTTCATCCTGAGTCGTTTTTTGACGGTCCGAAGGCCGAAAACGGCCAAAAATCTGTGATCCTGATTCTTTGAACGACGCAATCATGTCTGGGTTTAAGTCGGGCCTGTCCCTCTACAGGGGGAATATTCCAAGACAGTAAAACAAAAAACAGTCTGGGAACGTTTTTTTTCTTGCTCAAAAACTGACCGTCGTCGGGTACTTGTATGACTGTTTTGACTCTTCTTAAGGTTTCGTCCGAAATCGGCCTGTAGGGGGACAGGCCCGACCTGAGTCTTGTGGGCGTGGCTTAATGGGGGGGTCACAATTAGGGGGGTCAGAAAAGGTCCCCTTTCGGGCCCCTCCAGAGCCCCAGGGGGCTCGTTTAGGTACCGTTAGGGTACCTTTTCGGACCACGCTCGCCACCCCCCCATTTATGACCCCCCCATTACGCGGCGCAGCGCTGGGCCGCCCCGAGGAGGGCCAGGGGCGCTTCCTGGAGGGCGCGCGGGTCCGGAGCACCTCGCGGCCCGCGGGGCTGCTCGGGCCCCTGCCCGAGCAGCGCTCCCCGCGCCCGGCCGAGGCGGGCATCCCCGCGGAGAGGCAGCGCGACCGCGCGGACGGCTCGAGGCGCTCCCGGAACTTCGAGCGCTGTAGACCCAGACCCTCCTCTTCCTCCTCCTCCTCCTTCTCCTTCTTCTTCCTCCTCCTCCTCCTCCTTCTCCTCCTCCTCCCTCCTCCTCCTCCTCCTCCTCCTCCTCCCTCCTCCTCCTCCTCCTCCTCCTCCTCCTCCTCCTCCTCCTCCTCCTCCTCCTCCCTCCTCCTCCTCCTCGTTCTCCTCCTCCCCTCTCCTCCTCCTCCTCCTCCTCCTCCTCCTCCTCCTCCTCCTCCTCCTCCTCCTCCTCCTGCCGGCGATGGCGCCCGGATCGAGTGGGGCATGTCCCTCTGCAGGAGGACCATTCAAAAATAGTCAAAACATAGTGTGCCGACGCTTTCTTTTTCATAATTGTTGGACTATGTTTAACATGTGTGGGCTCTGTTTTTATATATATATATATATATATATATATATACATACATACATACACACATATATACACATATATATATATATTCCTCCTGTAGGAGGACATGTCCGACCTGGCACTCGGAGGAAGACACCCCAGGCGTGCTCGCGTTGTGAATAAATCATGGCGGGCGTTGTGGCCGTATTCGCCCCACGGGGGTCCTCGCCAGCCCCCGGGACCGTCACACAAATTGTTCGAGACGAAAAGCTGGCCTTGGGGAAAAGGGGTCGGAGCGTTTGGGGGTGACCGCATGGGAAAATCAAGACATCGCATGCCCAGGCCTCCTCGCGCTGTGAGAAAAAAAACACTGCGCGAGGTTTTTCGCTATTTTCGGCCTTTTGGCGCCCCTGCCGGGCTTTGGGGCCGTCAAGGAAGATTCAAGATGAAAAACTTGTCTTGGGGAAGGGGTGCAGACCTCTGGGGGTCGAAGTGATGAATTTTGGGGTGACCGCACTGGAAAAGCAAAGCATCGACCCTCGGCATCATGATTTGTTCACAGCGTCGACCTCCAGAGGTCTGGACCCCTTTCCACGGGACCCGTTTTTCATCCTGAGTCGTCCTTTGACGGTCCCGAGGCCCGGTAAGGGCCCCTGGAGGCCGACAACCGAAAAATATCCCGCCAGAATCCTTTCACAACGCGAGTGGGATTGGGCCCGGCGGAGGGTCTCATGTTCTTAGAGGGTTTCATTTTGTCCTTGATCCGTCTGTACCTGCTCGTTCCGGAGACTCCTGATGTCCAGGCGTTGAAGTTTGTTCACAACGGGCCATCTTCGATGATCCTCAGGACGTGTGTTAGCCCGATGCTTTCAGCCCGACCAGCAGATCATTGCATCGCCTGCATCGTATCGAAGGTCCTCGATGGACAAACTTTTTTGGTCTGCGGGTCGAGAGCGAGCCTCTTCCGGTTAAGAGCCAGGCGGGCCGCGCAAAGCACTAATTGGGGAGACAGAGCACAGGCGGGCGGGGCCTCAGGCGGCCGGAGGGTGCGGGGTGCAGGCGGTGCTGAGGAGCTTGCACAGGAAAAGGAACGCCTTGGACAGGAGCCGGAGGCGAAGTCCCAGAGGGTGAGCGGTGTGGTGTTGCCTCGATGGACAGACACACGCTGGGGCCAACACGCGCTCTGAGGTCCATCGATATCTCGCCAGGCTTCAAGCGCCCCGGGCCATTACAAAGAGAGATCCGGCTCCAAACATGCTCCGGAAAGGTGGGGTCTACACCCCTCCTCGAAATCAAACTTCGGGGGTGGACAGAACCCCCAACAGTGACACGTCGATTGGTGAATTGTCCGCTTTCGGTTCTCGAGAGGGCGCCGGGGCCGTTATTTTCCAGGCCTGCGCCCGCCGGGTTTGGGCCCGAGGTCGTTTTCACTAAACCACGTTTTACTAACGGGGGGCCCGTCCAACCCCGAAGCCCTCCTCGGAGTCAAGCCTCGAGCTTTTGCCCCACGACGTGGCGCCGCCGCTGGACCCCCAGCGTCGAGGTCGACGCCGACGCTGGCGACTGCCACACGCTGGGGCTAACACGCGCTCGATCTCGCCAGGCTTCGAGCGCCCTGGGCCACTGCAGAGAGATCTGGCTCCAAACATGCTCTGGCAAGGGGGGGTCTACTTTTAAGTCGGGCGTGTCCCCCTACGGGGATTTTCGACGACAGAAAAAACCCAATACTAATCGAAAAATAGTTCAAAAATCGTCAGGGGATTATTTTTTTCGTATTTTTGACCTTTTTGGGGGTATGTTGGGGGTATGTTTCGGTCTTTGTCGAAAATCCCCCTGTAGGGGCACACGCCCGACATGAGTCGACACCCCTCCTCGACGTCAAGCCCGAGCCTTTGCCCCACGACGTGGCGCCGCCGCCGGACCCCCCGTGCCAATGTCGACGCCGCCGCTGGCGACTGCAAGGTGTTGTGTGGACCCCGCGGGCCGCGCTGCGCGCGTCCATCAGCGCTCGCATTTCGGGGGCGAGGGCCTCGGATAAGAGGTTGAGTTTGATTTCGAGGAGGGTTCTATCAAGCAGTGGCGAAGCGTCCTGGCTCGCCTATAGCCCCACCAAGCACTGTTCTGAGAACCTTGTTTTTGTTCTTGGAACATTTTCGGGTTCGAAGAACATTGCGTGGTAGGACTATAGAAATGCCGGGACGGTTGGTCCCTGCTCAATTCTAGGGTTAAGTCGGGCCTCTCCCTCTACAGGGGGAAGATTCCAAAATAGTCCAAAAATAGTCTGGGGACTATTTTGTGTATTTTTTTTGACAATTTCGGGGTATTTTTGGAGTTCGTATTTTTAATTTTTCGTTGAAAATCCCCCTGTAGGGGGACACGCCCGACTTAATTCTAGGGCTCCCGGTCGAGTTTGTCGCTGTGCTGCCGTTTTTTGTCGCAGCGTGGGATCTCAGGGCAGGTGCCGCTGCTCGTCCTGGATGGCCCTCGTGGTCGCGGCTGGACTGCCCTCGGCATTCCAGCCGGGACGCACCCTCGGAGAGGTCTGGGGGTTCGCGGTATTGGAAATTCTTCTGTCGGGGGGTCCAGGCAGTGTGGTGACCACATTGCTCTGTGAGCCGGTGTGAGTTTGGGATCCCCGCACGGCTCTGGGACTCGGGTCGTTCTCTGAGGGCGTCTCTGGCGACCAGGACCTCCAGGGCCCAGACACCGTGCGGGAAGGTCCTCCTGGGATCTCGAGGTCACCCCATGATGTGTGCCACCACACCGCTCGGGACCCTCAATCCCAGGACCCCGACGCCATGTTTCTGTTCGTAGCGTCGACCCCCAGAGGAGGAGGAGGAGGAGGAGGAGGAGGAGGAGGAGGAGGAGGAGGAGGAGGAGGAGGAGGAGGAGGAGGAGGAGGAGGAGGAGAGAGGAGGAGGAGGAGGAGGAGGAGGAGGAGGAGGAGGAGGAGGGACCCGCGGAAGCCTGGGCGTGGCCGCCCCCCCGAGAGGCACACGTCGCCGCCGGCGCCGCCGTCGCTGGGGGCCTGGCAGGAGGAGTCAAGCAGTGGCGAAGCGTCCTGGCTCGCCTATAGCCCTACCAAACAATGCTCCAAGAACCTTTTGTGGTTTCCACGGGATGTTTTTAGAGCATCTCTGGCTGGGACTGTCTTGGTTTAACACATCGGGTTTAAGCTCTAAGAACATTGTTTTTGTTCTCAGAGCGTTTTGGGGTTCTAAGAATATTTCGTGGTAGGACTATAGGAATGCCGGGACGGTCGGTCCCTGCTCAAAGGAGCGCGGCGTGGCGGCGGCGCTGTCGGCCATGCACGCGGACCTGGGGTCGTTCCACAAGCAGCAGCTGGAGGCGCAGGCCGCCCAGGCCGCCGCGAGCAGGCATCTCCGCGCGCAGGTGGAGAGCCTGGAGCAGCGCGTGTCCGACGTCCCGCACGCGGGCCTGCGCCACGCCGCACAGCGCGGCCAGGACGAGGACTCGTCGGGGTCCTCCGCGATCCTGCAGGAGTGCTCCAGGACTCGAGGAAGAGCCAGCTTCGTGAGCAGATGCCAGCCTTAAGTCGGGCATGTCCCTCTACATAAGGAATGTTCAACAATAGTCAAAACATAGTATGGGGACGATTTTCGATCATTTTCGAATGCCAGTGTTTGAATATGTTTTGGCTACTTTTGATGCGTCTTCGAAAACCATCCTGTAGGAGGAGGACATGCCCGATCTAACGCTAGCCAGCGTATGTAGACCCCAACCAGTGTGTTTCTGGCAACAGAGGTTGTGCAATCTACGTTGCGCAGCATATGTAGTGTAATATATGTTGCGCAATCGTTGCGCAACCTACGTGGGGCACTCTATATGGTGTAATGTCATTTCTGTTCGCAGTGGGTTGTCCACTCCACTGCTCGCGCAATCATCCCACCCACCCACCCGCAACGTGGTTTGCAAAACCCATGCGACGGCGATTGCGATGAGTGCTCGGAGTTGGCTGGTGCATCTCTGCGGCCGCGCATGCCCGCGCATGCGCGCGCGCGCAGCGGCCAGCTAGTTTGGCGCGACCGACGCAGCCTCGGTGGCTCTGACCGCTGGGCACTTCCCAGCGGGCACTTCAGTGCGAGTCGGCGACTTGGGTGGGCGCGCTACCACGGCAACGTCGACAACGGTGGACGCGACGATGATGGTAGCGATGCTGGTGGCGATGCTGACCACGACAACGGCAGCGCCAGCAACGGCGTCGATGCTGATCATGCCGCCGACGATGACGGCGTCCTCGCGTCGGTGATGAAGATTTTGGAGGGAGTTTGACATGCGTGCGCGGCCGACGCGCGGGAGCGACCCGCACGGTATGATTTGACACGGGTCGTGCCCCCTTCCCGCCCGCGCGAAAGGGCGTTCGAATGATTTTCGATGTGCAGCGCGAGAATGTAGCGCGCATGTTGAAAAACGTTTGTTTGGCGCGAGATGTCGCAGGAACGCGACCCCGGGCATTTTGAAAATTGATATGGCAAAACCAATTGTGTACATATGGCGGGGGACCAGGGACAGGGCCCCCCGGGCCGGAGCCTCGACTGGTGACTGATGTGTCGCCCCTCCCTTGGGCCTCCATGATGTTTCACGACGGTCCAAGAGGTCTCCCAGAGAGCTCCCAGACTGCTCAGGAAAACCCGAAGACGGTCCAAGAGGGCCCCGAGTCGCCGAGTGATCGCTCCAAGTTGCCCAAGATGGCCCAAATTGCAAACAAGAACGGTCCCAAGAAACTAAAATGATTGTTTCTCCCGCAGGGTTTTGAAGGATTTTGGTGTTATCGCCTCTTCGGCTCCGCAGCGTTCACAGATAGCCCAAGAGGCCCCCAAGATCGGTCCAAGACGGCCCAAGAGGCCTCCAAGAAAGCCCCAAAACGGCCCACGAGGGCTCCAAGAGAACCCAGGAGGCCTCCAAAACGGCTCGACAGTTCCCCAAGACGGCTCCATGAGGGCTCCCAGACGGGGGACCCAACGGACATTCCGACCCCTCGGCCCCAAGAGGCCCCCAGGACGCCCCAAGAAGCCCCCCAGAGGCCCCCAAAAGGTTTCGAGAAGCCCCCAAGACGCCTCCAAGAACATTCCCAAGAGGACCCCAAGAGGCACAATGTATTGATTTCTTTTAGGTTTTCAAGGGTTGTTGCATTACCGCCCTGGCGGCCCCCCGACGTTCCAAGACAGCCCCAAAGGCCTCCAAGATCGGTACAAGCCGGCCTCAGGGGCATCCAAGAGAGCCCCAAAACGGCACAAGAGGGTTCCAAGGCAGCCCAAGAGGCCTCAAAGAAGGCCCAAGAGGCAGGGATTATTGCGATAGCTCGCGCGCAAAAGGCGTTCGAGCGATTCCGACATGCGCGCGCGAGAGGCCCTCTTGGTAATGAGCAAGTCATGGACATGCTTGAAAACGGAGGGTTTTCTTAAGAATTCGCAGGAACGCGAGCGCAGGTTTTTCCCCCTCACCATCCTGTGTTGTTGGGTCCTGGTTTTGAAGAGACAGCAGCCGCGTCCACTCCACTCCTCCTCCCCCTTGTCCCTCCCATCACCATCACCATCATACCATCATCACGATCATCATCATCAGCATCATCAGCATCTTCCTCCTTCTCCTCCTCCTCCTCCTCATCATCATCATTATCGTCATCGTCATCGCCAGCATCATCATAATGACCGCCATCATTGTTATCATCGTCATCATGATCCTTGTCATCATCTCCATTATAGCGTCCGCACGCGGTTCCATCCTCCATTTCGGCACACCCCATCACACGCTTCGTGGGAGCTCCACCGAAGGCCACAGTGGCAGCGCCCGCAAGCGGTTCCCCCGCACATATCGGCACACCTCTCACATGTTTCGAGCCCCCAAAGGGAGCTCCACCGAGGGCCCCACTGGCAGCGCCCGCATACGGTTGCCCCCCCCGTTTCGGTGCATGCCTTACACGCTTCGTAGCCCCATCGGGAGCTCCACCGAAGGCCCCAGTGGCAGCGAGCGCATGCAGTTCCACCCCCCATTTCGGCGCACCACCAGAGGCCACAGTGGCAGCGCCCGCATGCAGTTCCACCCGCCATGTCGGTGCACCCATCACACGCCTCGTGACCCCATAGGGAGCTCCACCGAACGCCCAAGTGGCAGCGCCCGCATGCGGTTCCCCTGCCCATGTCGGCACACTCCTCACACGGTTCGTGGCGGCATTGAGAGCTCCACCTAAGGCCCCAGGGACAGCGCCCGCATGCAGTTCCACCTTCCATTCCGGCACATCCCTCATACGTTTTGTGGTCCCATAGGGAGCTGCACCCGAAGCCCCAATGGCAGCGCCCGCATGCAGTTCCACCCGCCATGTCGGTGCACCCATCACACGCTTCGTGGCCCCATAAGGAGCTCCACCGAACGCCCAAGTGGCAGCGCCCGCACGCAGTTCCACCACCAATTTCGGTGCACTCCTCACACGTTTCGTGGCCCCATTGGGACCTCCACTGGATGCCCAAGTGGCAGCGCCCGCATGCAGTTCCACACCCCATTTCGGTGCACCCCTCACACGTTTCGTGGCCCCATAGGGAGCTTTAACGGAGTCCCCAGGCAGCGCCCGCATGCGGTTCTATTACTACTTTCTGTGCACCCCTCACACGGTTCGTGGCCCCATAGGGAGCTCCACCGCAGGTCCCAGCGGCCGCGCCCGCATGCGGTTCCAGTCTCATCTCGGTGCACCCGTCACACGGTTCGCGGCCTCATAGGGAGAGGAGGAGGAGGAGGAGGAGGAGGAGGAGGAGGAGGAGGAGGAGGAGGAGGAGGAGGAGGAGGAGGAGGAGGAGGAGGAGGAGGAGGAGGAGTCCTCCTCCTCCTCCTCCTCCTCCTCCGCCACATGTCGGCACGCCCTTCACGCGCTGTGGCCCCACAAGAAGATCCGCCGACCGCGGTATCACAGAGACGGTACCCACAACTGCATGTGGTTGGGCCCTTCGCCAGGCTAAGTTTGAAATTTACTGTCGAGAACTATGTGTCATTACATGCTTTCGGGGCACCCGACTTTGAAACCCTCACGAGACCAAAGGTTGTTTTACGCATTTCGGCATGCGTTCGCGACGACGCGCGCGAGTGCCCTGCGTCCCATCTGCTGCAAGGGAGTCCTGCGACAGCATGCGCGCAAGGGCGATCGAGCGATTCTGACATGCGCGCGCGAGAGGCCCGTTTGGTAGCATGTTATGGACACGTTGAAGAACCCGTGTGTTCTTCAGGATTCGCAAGAGCGTGAGCGCATGCTTTCCTGAAACCTCTATGTGCGAATTCGCACGGGCGCGGGCGCAGGCTTTGTTTGAAAACCTGAGTTGCGAAGCCATTTGTTGCATGAACCAATGTTACCGTGGCCCTCGATTTTGAAATCCTCGCGAAACCTAAGTCGGTTGTTGAAGCATTTCGACATGCGCGCGCGACGACGCGCGCGCGCACTTCGCACAGTTGTTTGCAAGGGATGTTTGGAATCGGTTGCTTTTCTCCAAGTAGACTTGCCCTATAGGAGTCCTAGCTCATTATTATCCAAATCGGCTTCCCCTGTAGGTGTCCCAGCCCATCACACGCAATGGGTCTTTAGGACCCCCCCCCTTTCCAATGGCCCCCCCCTTTATTTCCAATGCCCCCCCCCCTTTTGCCAATGGCCCCCCCCTATTTCCAATGGCACCCACCAGCTATTTCCAATGGCGGGTACTATGGATTGCTATCGATTCCTATGAGTCGTTTGCCCTTGCTTGCTCTTGCGTGCTCTTGCTTGCTTGTTCTTGCGTGCTTGCTATCGTTTGCTTGCTCTTGCTTGCCCTTGCTTGCTTGCGCTTGATCGCTGGCTCTTGCTTGCTTGTGTCTGCTCGCTTGCGCTTGCTTGCTTCCGCTTGCTTGATGTTGCTTCTCCTGTCCTCCCGTCTTGCTCCCGTTTCGTCTTCCTCCCATCCTCCTCTCGTCCACCTCCTGTCCTCCTATCTATTTGGAGTCAACGCTGGTTGATATTGATAAACGAGTGCGCGCGCATAGCATTTGCTGCAGAGGATGAGGGGAGTGCCACTGCCGGTCGGCCTCGGATGTTACGAGTTCGTAATTTTGGATGGGCGACGAAGCAGAATCACATGTACATTGCAATGCGAACAGAGGAACGTTAATTCGGGGGTGCGCGGGGGGAAGGGTGGAGAGAGGGGGGTCGGGTGGGTCCTGATATTCTTTTAGACAGGACAATCGGTGCGGTGCGCAACACATGTGGAGCAACCTATGTGGTGCAGGTGATTTCTGTTCGCAGTGAGTTGTCCACTCCACTGCTCGCGCAAACATCCCACCCACACACCCGCAACTTGGTTTGCAACATCTCTTAAGACCGTGACGTTGGGTACCGAATGGCACTTGGCAACGACAGCGACGCCGACGACGACAGCGACAACGACGACGACGCCGCCGACAACGACGACGCCGACAACGACGCCGCCGACGACGACGACGAAGACGACGACGACGAAGACGACGACGACGTCGCCAACGAAGACGACGACGAGGGAGGAGGGAGGACGACGACGGCGACAACGACGACAACGACCACGCGGGAGGAGGGAGGAGGGAGGACGGCGACGACGCGAACGACGAAGAAGGAGGAAGGATGGCGACGCCGACGACGACAACGACGAGGGAGGAGGGAAGACGACGACGACAACGACGACGACGACGACGGCGACGAAATAGGATGGACGACGACGAGACGCCGACGATTGACGACGACGACGACGAGGGAGGAGGAGGAAGGACAACCACGGCGACAACGACGACGGAAACGACCACGACGCCAAAGAGGACGACGACGACGAACACGAGGAAAGACAGAGGACGACGTAGGCGACGACGACGACGACGCGGGAGGAGGGAGGACGGCGACGACGACGACGACGACGCAAGAGCGCGCGCGCACGCTTTTGTTGAAAATCCGTGTTGCGAAAGCTTGTGTTTTTGTAGGTTGTTTAGACACACAATGTTGAAATCCTTCCGAAGCCGATGGGTTTTGAAGGATTTCGGCATACGGGCGCGACGACGCACGCGTCTGCACTTCGTCCCGTTTTTTTGCAGGGGATTCTCGCGACGGCACCCGCGCAAGGGCGTTCGACTGATTGCGACATGCGCGCGCGCGAAGCCCGTTTGGTAGCGTTTTATGAAAATCTTGAAGAACCAATGGTTTTCTTAAGATTTCGCAAGAGCTCGCGCGTAAGCTCTTCTAGCAAATCAGCGTTGAAAGACCAAATTTTTTTGTATGTTTTTTGGAAGCTCGATTGCGAAATCCTTCCGACACCGAAGGTTTTTGGAGGATTTCGGCATGCGCGCGCGACGACGCGCGCGTGTGCACTCGGCACTCCGTCCCATTTTTTGCAAGGGATTCGCGAACAAGTGTTATGTTGGAACAAAATATGTCCCCGCGTATCGTTTTTTTCACAAGGGAACCTCAGGGGGAGCGATACCGGCCCCCTGGGACATTGTAATTTCATATTTAGGAAGGACATGTGGTCATAATCGTATATGATTTACATACCCGAAAGGGGAACGGATAACGCGGGGGGTGGTAGAGTCGATTCTCTTTTTAGAAAGGAGAATATGGTTTTGTGGTGCAGTTGATTGTTTTTACAAACGAGTTGATAATGCCATGCTCTTGCAAACATCCCACCCACCCACCCGCAACTTGGTTTGCAAAACCCATGCGGTGGCGATTCCGATCGTGCTTGGCGCTGGCTTGTGCATCTTTGCGGCCGCGCCAGCCCGCGCATGCGCGCGAGCTCAGCGGCCAGCGAGTGCGGCGTGACCGACGCGGCCGCGGTGGCGCTGACCGCTTGGCACACCCCAGCGGGCACTCCAGTGCGAGTCGGCGGTTTGCGCGGGCTCGGTATCATGGCAACGTCGAGAACGGTAAACGCGACGATGATTTATATAATAGCGATGCTGGCGACGATGTTGACAGCGACGACAGCGAGGCCAGTGATGGCGCCGATGCTAATCACGCCGACGACGATGACGGCGTCCCCGCGTCGGTGATCAAGGTTTTGGAAGGAGTTCGACATGCGCGCGTGGCAGACGAGTAAAAGTGGCTGGATCGTGCCCCCCCCAGCCCGCGCGCAAGGGCGTTCGAATGATTCCAGCATGCGGCGCGAGAGGTTCGTTTAGCAGAATGCCATGCCAAAGTTGAAAAAAAAAGCAACAACCGTGTTTTTGTTGTAAGAGATCGCAAGAACGCGAGCGCAATTTGTTTTTAGCACTGGTGCTGCGAAACAAGATGTTTTGATACTGTTTCGGCACACTCCGTTTTGAACTCCTTGCGAAACCTATGGTGTTTGAAAGATTCCAGCACGCGCGCGCGACGACGCACGCGTCTGCACTTCGTTTCATTTCTCGCTGAGGGTTCTCACGACGGCACGCGCGCAATGGCGTTCGAACGATTTCGGCACACGCGCGCGCGAAGCCCGCTTGGTAGCGTGTTTTGAACATGCCGAAAATCCGTAGTTTGCCCAAGAACTCGCGCGAGCGCGCGCGCAAGCTTTTATCACTTACGTTCGATAAAATTCCGTGTTGCGAAACCATGCGTGTTTGTTTGTGGCTTGGACACTCTATTTTAACATCCTCAACACCTGCGGTGTTTGAAGGATCTCGGCGCGCGCGCGCGACTACGCGCGCGTGATCCGCGCATATTCATCTGCATAGGATGGCGGGCTTCATTTATTTATGAATGTAGATGTGTGTATGTATATACACATTCATTTGTGTATATATATATATACATATACATACAGATGGTGCAAGGTGCGTGGTGTTGTGTACTCGGTGCGATCTATGTGGCGCAACTGATTTTTTCAAACGACTTGACGCATCCCATGATCGTGCCAGCATCCCACCCACCCACCCGCAACTTGGTTTGCAAAACTTATGCGGCAGCGATTGCGATGGGTGCTTGGCGTTGGCTGGTGCATTCTCTGCGGCCGCGCTGGCCCGCACATGCTCGCGCGCACAGCGGCCATCCAGGTAGGTTGGCGCGACCAACGCGGCCGCGGTGGCGCTGAGCGGTGGGCACGTCCCAACGGGCACTTCAGTGCGAGTCGGTGATTTGGGCGGGCTCGACATCATGGTAACGCCGACAACGGTAGGGACGATTATGAAAGTAGCGGTGATGTTAACGATGGTGGCGATGACGACGGCAAGGCCGATGGCGGCGCCGATGTTGATCACGCCCGCCGGTAACGATTACGGTGTCCTCGCGTGGGCGATGAAGGTTTTAGAAGGAATTCGACATGCGCGCGCGGCCGACGCGCACGAGTGGCCCGCGTGGTATCATGTGACACGGGCCGTGCCCCCACCCCCCCAACACGCACGCAATGGCGTTCGAATGGGTTCGACATGCGGCTCGAGAGGCCCGTTTGGCAGAATGTTATAATCATGTTGGAAAACAGATGGTTTTCTCAAGAACCCGCAAGAACGCGAACGCAGGATTTTTTAATTGATGTTGCCAATCCGTGTGTTTTTGTTTGTTTCCGGGGTACTCGAATTCGAAATCCCTGCGACGCCGAATGTTTTTTTGACGGATTGCAGCATGCGCGCGTGACGACGCGCGCGAGTGCGCGTCGTCCTGTTTTTTACAAGGGTTCTCGCGACAGCACGCGCACAAGGGCGTGCGAACGATTCCGCCATGCGCACGCGAGAGGCCCGCTTGGTAGCATGTTATGAACATGTTGAACACATGTTTTCGGGCGAATTCGCACGAGCGCGGGCGCAAAACATTTTGTTGCACAGCCATGTGTTTTTTTATATGTGCTCTTGCTACTCGATTTTGAACAACCCTACGATACCTATGGTTTCGTGGGGATTTTGGCATGCGCGCGCGACGACGCGCGCGTGTGCAGTGCGTCAATTTGTGCGAGGGATTATTGAACACGGGTGATTTGTTACAAACGAGAGCTCGCGCATAGTTGTTTTGCATAACATGGCGGGAGGGGTCGACACCGCTTGGGTTGGGAGGGTACGAGCTCATACCTAGGATGGACGATGGGGCAGAATCGCATGTACATTGCAATACGATAAAAGGGGGCGGTAAGTGTGGGAGGGTGAAGGCAGATCCGAATTCGTATTCCGAAAAGTGAAATTTTATGGTCAAGTCTACGTGGTGCGCAACCTATGCGTTGCAAACGGCGGCACTTATGGTTTGCAATGGAAGGCATTGGGCAGGCTGCGACGTGGCGGTCAGCGACCACGGAACAGCCAAACCGACGGTCAGGCCCAGAAGACGGGCGGTGCCAGGGCGGCGATGGCGGCCACGGAGCCGCCAGACCGATTTTCAGGCCCAGACGATGGGCGGCGACGAGGCGGCGGCGGGGCGGCGACTGCGCGACCACGGAACCGCCAGACCGACGGCCAGGCCAGTTCCTGAGATCGGAGGTGAGAGCCCCTAGTTGGAGCTTCGGGCTGATTTCTTGGGTCGGCGCTTGGGCCCCTCGGCGGCGCCTTGGGCGCCGCTTCTGGGGCGCTCCGCGCGCCGCGGGGGGGGGGGGGGGGCAGCGCCGATCCAAGACATCCGCGCGGACCTCCCAGCCCCCCCTCGCGCTGTGAACAAAACCGCGACGGGAGGTTTCTCGCCACTGTCGGCCTCTGGGGACCCTTGCGGGCCTCGGGACCGTTAAAACAAGGACTCAGGATGGAAAAACTGGTCCCGGGGCAGGGGTCCAGACCTCTGGGGGTCGACGTTGTGAGCAAATCACGACGTCGGGGGTCTGGGCTCAGAGCTCAGAGAAATCATGTTTACGCCGGGTTCCCCCCCGAAAGGAAGCTGGACCGCTATGCCGCAACGTGTGCCGGGTATTCGGGCAAGGTTGAGGTCCTCTCCGACGTGCTCAAGGAAGGGATCGACGCGACCAGGGAAGAGATGAAGACGGCGCTCGCGAGTTGCTCGCAGAAGCTAGAAGAGATCATGAAGGCCGTCGACCGTTGTGGGGCTCGGGTCGCCCCTGACGCCCTCGACACCAGGTGCCGCGAGGCAGCGGGGAAGCGGCAGGCCAAGGGCAGACCGTGCGACATCCTCCAGGCGGAGAGCACCGGAAACTGGCAGGAGGTGGCCCAGATCCGCGAGTCGCCCAAGTGCCCGCTGATGGGGAGCATCCTGGAGGTCCCGGACGACAGCGCTTGCCCCGACGACGCGCCAGGCCCGCCCAGCGCCACGCTGCTGGTGGAGCGGCTGGCCCCCGACATGAAGCAGCTCCTCGCCCTGCTGGCCGACCCCGGCAGCAGGCCGCCCCCCGGGGCCGCCGAGGCGTGCAGCGCGCCCGCTCCCGGCGGCCTGGCCGGGCGCTTCGACGTGCAGGGCAGGCCTGGGCCGGGAGGCAGGCCGCCTCGCGGCCCGAAGCCGCCCGCCCTCGCGGTGGAGGACGGGGCCGCCCGGGGAGGCTCTCCGTCGCGCGGGGGGCGGGGCGCCCTGCGGGCCGCGCTGGAGGACAAGGCCGCCCGGGGAGACCCGAAGGCCGCCTGGCTCGGGGTGCCGCCTCGCGGGCCGAAGCTGCCTGCCTTCAGCATGGAGGACGACGCCGGCCCGGGAGGCCCGATGACCGCGCGCCTCGGGGGGCCGGCGCCGCCCGCCTTCTCGATGGAGGACGAGGCCGGCCTCGGAGGCCTGCCGCCGTGCGGGCCGCAGGTGTCCGCCTTCTCGCTGGAGGACAGCGAGGAGGACGGCCCCGGCCACGACACGGTGCTCGACTGCAGGACTCCTCCGTCGCCGCCGTCCCTGGAGCGCGACGAGGGGTGCCTCGTGACGGTGACCGAGGTGACGAGCGAGCAGCACACACACACCCATACCCACGTCGGGGTGATGGAGAGGGGGCCATGGGTGCGTGTTGTCGGATGGGGGTCCCCGCTCGAGCGGGAGCCTCCCCCGGGGTCCGACAACCCGCGACCATACCCATCATCGCCAATCCTCCTCTCTCCGAGCCCACCCCCTACTGGGTATGGGTGTGTGCGATATTCGTTCGTCCCGAGGGGAGCCGCGCCCGTGGCGGCCCCGACGACTGCTCGCCGCGCGCCGAGGAGATCGCCGGGGCCAGGCTGCCGCTGCGGCGCACCTGGGACCTCCCTGAGGACTCAAGCAGTGGCGAAGCGTCCCGGCTTGCCTATGGGCCCACGAAAGGACGCTCCAAGAACCTTTTTGTGGTCTGCACGGAATGTTCTTAGAACATTTCTGGCTGAGACTGTCCTGTTGGAACGCATCGGGTGTTTTATGTCTTACGAACATTGTCCTCGTCCTTGGAATTTCTTGGGGTGTACAACAAAATTTCGCCGTAGGCTTATAGGAATTCCGGGACGGTCGGTCCCTGCTCAAAGGACGTGCTGCGCGCGGCGCGGCCGGCGTACGCGGGCGCCCCTGCGGAGGCCGCGTCGGTGGGCGCGGCGCCGCAGGGCTCCACGGGCCTCCGCGGGCCCGCTGGCTGGATCCTGCGCCCGCCGTCGCCGTGGCGCCTCGCGTGGGACCTGCTGGGCTGCCTGCTGGTTGCAGTGAGCGTCTCCGTCGGGCCCCTGGAGCTCAGAGGAGGAGGAGGAGGAGGAGGTACTGATGCCGCTACCTTTCCCTCGTGTCCCCCCTCTTCGGGCCCCCTGGGAGGCCCTCGCCGCCGCCGCTGGATCCGCCTCGCGATGCTGAACAGAGCGCAGCCCGCGCACCCCGGGTCCGGGGAGCAACGGTCTCTCGGTGCCTGTCGGCGCACGAGCGCACCCTCCAGAGCCTGCAGGACCTCCAGAGGTGGATAGCCCTCCTGCCCTGACGCGTCGATGAAATCGGCCGCTTGCGGTTCGCGAGAGGGCGTCGCGGCCGTCACTTCTGTGGCTTCCCCAGGAGCTCAACCCGTCGCTGCCTGCCGGGGCCGCCGCTGCCGCGCGGCTGCTGCTGTGGCTGTGTGCGCTCTATTGGACGCTGGACGTGGGCCTCTGCTTCCGCTCCGGCTTCGTCAGTGGCGCCCGCATGGTGCTGGACGCCCGGACGATTGCGGCGCGGTGCTCGGAGGAGGGAGGATGGGGAGGAGGAGGAGGAGGAGGAGGAGGAGGAGGAGGCGGAGGCGGAGGAGGAGGAGGAGCAGCGAACACATTTGCACTTTCGAAGCTCCGCGCGGTTCCTCTCGGATCGGGGCCGGGCCTCCCTTGGCGGCGCCCCTGGCGCGCTCCACGCGCCAGGGGGGGGTCCAGCGCAGGTCCAAAGAAAAACAGTGCGGACCTCCCAATTTCTGCCGTTGTTTCTTCCTCGAGGTACGCGCAGACGTGGCTGCCTTTTGATCTTGTCATGTCGGCCATCGACTGGGCCGAGGTTGCGCTCGGAGAAGACCCTGGCACGGCGCCCGCCGCCCTGGCCCTGGCGGTGAGGCTGCGGCGGCCCTTGCGGTTGCTGCGAGCTGCGAGGATTGGACGGAGCCTGGCGCTGCGCAGCGGCTTCCCTGCCTTCCGCGAGTGGGGCTCTCCCGTGCTTGCGCTCGCCTGGCTGGCCGTGAGCTGCCACACCGCGGCTGGGGCTTGGCTCTTCCTGGGGGCTCGCGGGGGCGACTGGCTGGACGCCCACCTCGAGGGCGAGGCCACGTTTTCGGCCAAGCTGTCCGCCTCCACGCACTGGGCTATCTCTCGGCTGCACGGCTCTGGGCAGCTCCTGCCTAGGACCGCCGGGGAGCAGGCCAGGCCGCCTGCGACGCGATGCGGTGCGACTCGATTCGCCAGCCGGGGCCGCGATTCCGATTCGATGTCGCTCGGTCCGTTTCACCAGCATCGGCCGGTGCCAGCCAGAGCCTGTCACGGCGAGCCGATTCCGATCCGATTCGGGGCGGTTCGCTGGCCGACCCGTTTCCGATCCGAGTCGATCTCTCGATTCGATCCAGCCCCAGACATGCGTCGTCCTGATTTCTTCAATGCGGGGTCCTCGTAAGTCCCGACCTTTTCCCCAGGACCGGCTCTTTCCTCCTGCTGAGCCGTTTCTTGACGGCCACGAGGCCCAGCGAGGGCCCCCCGAGGCCGAAAACGGCCAAAGCCTTCTTGGTCCGGATTCTGTTTGCGACTCAGCCACGCCCGGGTCCAGCTCGTGCCTGGCAGGCCCTGAGCTCCGTGTGGCTGCTGCTGGCCTTGCTGTCGGTGTCGGCCTTCCTGGCCACCCTCACCGCCGGCGCGACGAGGCGCTGCCTCCTGGCCGCGGAGGCCTCGGACCAGCGTGCGGCCCTGTGCACCTTCCTCGCGCGCCACGAAGTGGGGCCTCGGGCGCAGGTGCTGCTGAAGGTCCACCTCGAGGCTCGGGGTGTCCCAACATGTTTTTCCCAGACACGATCGCGTGGTAAAAAAAAACAGGACGGGCGGTGGTTCGCTATGTTCGGCCCCGGGGGGCCCTCGTCGGGCCTCGGGGCCGTCCGAACACGACTCGGGAGGACAGACCCGGCCCCAGGGAAAGGGTCGGGACTTCCGGGGACGCCGTCCTGAGAAATTAGTCAGGACGTCGCATGCCTGGGGTATAGCCTTGACCACCAGAAAGAACTTCGAGCGTCGAGAAAGTACCGAAGCTCGAGGCTTCCCACGTGTCGGGCCCTGGGAGGCGATCCTCGTCCGACGACACCGTTTCGATACCTGCCTTGGTGCTCGAAAGTATCTCTGGAGTGTGGTCCATACCCAGAGATCCGATGTAGTGATTTGTTCAATGCGCGGCCCCCTGAAGCCTCGATCCACTCCCCAGGTCCAGATTTTCGTCGTGTGTCGTTTTCTGACGGTCCTGGGGCCCGGCGACGGCCCCTAGAGGCCGAAAATAGCGAAAAAACATCCGCCATGATCTTTTCAATGCGCTGGATCTTTGGGTAAGCGCGAGGGGAGCAGCAGAACTCCACCCTGACTCCAGATTCGTCCTACTTTGGGGAAATTCGTAAATAGGGCTTGGAATTTCCGCCTTGCTTTTCAGGCCCCGCTGATGCCAATTTCCGCCCTACTTTTCTGTTGCTGTTTCCGCCCTGCTCCTGTGGACTTCCGCCCCACTGTATGTTGGGTGCAGAAATGTCCGCCCTACCTTTTCGGCCCCTCATGGGTGGATTTCCGACGCAATTTTCAGTTGGAAAAGAAGCCAAAGTAGGGCGGATCTGGAGTCGGGGCAGGCCTGGACCCGGCTCCGGGCGAGGCAGGAGGGCGAGCGGCGGCTCCTGGAGGCGCTGCCCGCGCCCCTGCGCGCGGCGGCGCTGTGGGAGGCGCGCGGCCCGGCCCTCCTGGGGCACCACCTCCTGCGGGCCCTGGCGGGCGCCTCCCCGCCCTGCGCCCGGGAGCTGGCCGGCGGCATGCAGGCGCTTCCGGGGGGGCCCCGCTGAAACGACGCAAAGATCGGGAAAAAAATCGGATCGGGATAACTCGAAATCTCGAAGAATCGGCGGGGTTGGAGGATGTATTGGGCGCCGCGGCCGCTCCAGAGCGTTCCGGAACGCTCTGAGAGCGCTCCGGAACGCTCTGGAGCGATTTATCCCGATCCTAGCCCTGTTTTACCCGCGGAGATTTAGAATCAGAGCTCCGAATCATCAGGAGCGAACTCGGGTTCGATTTTCGGGATTACCGACCCCGAGTTGCCCCGGAGCCGACTTATACCCCGGATAATTCGGGCGTCCAGAGCCCCAAATCATCGGGGGGTATCTCGGGTCAGGGCTAGCCCGGGTTGTTTTTTCGGGGATCCAAGCCCGAATCACCCCGGACCCGAGTTACCCCGGATAGTTCGGGCGCCCAATAGAAGGGGGGGGCGGCATGCAGGCGCTTCGGGGGGGGGCCCGCGGAGATCTAGATCAGGAGGGAACAAAACACACAGACACAAGTCATCGTCGGTTCCGAAGAAAATATGGGAAAATATGGGAAGTGGGGGGGAAGACAAAAATCCAGAAACTAATGGACAAATATGGGGAATCCTTCTGTTTGTGTGTATGTATTTGTGTGTCCGTGGGCCCCTTCAATAGAGGAGGGGGGCTGGTCCTCCCGAGGCGGGGCGCGGGAGCAGCGCGAGCTCTGGATGCTCGCGCTATTCCTGCCTCCGGGAGCCGTGCGGGGGGGGGGGGGGGGGGGGGCGACGTGCCCGGGCAGGCGCGCGTCGTGACCGAGAGCCGGGCAGGCGGTGTTTGGCCGTGTTATCGGCCCTTGGGAGGACCGTCGACGGACAGCGTGAGGAGGAAACGTCGGTGCAGGGGAGTGGGTCGAGACCTCTGGGGGTCGATGCCATGAAAGAATCATGAAATTGGGGGTCTGGGAACCCCACCTCTGCCCTCCTCCTCCTCCTCTCCTCCTCCTCCTCCTCCTCCTCCTCCTCCTCCTCCTCCTCCTCCTCCTCCTCCTCCTCCTCCTCCTCCTCCTCCTCCTCTCATCCCTCCCACTCCGGAAACAGCGGGAGCGGGTCCAAGAGGAGGAAAGGAGGCTGTCCCACCCTCCCAGACATGCGACGCCCTGGTTTTTCCGAGGCGGGGGCCCCGGGAGTCCTGACCCTTCCCCCAGACCGGTTTTTTACCTCCCGAGCCGTTTCTTGACGGCCCCGAGGCCCAGCGAGGGCCCCCCGAGGACGAAAGCGGCCAAAGATTCCCCGCCCCGTTTTTGTCCGACGCGATCTTGTCTAGGCTTCTACCCCCCTCCTCCCCCCGACAGGTGGAGGGAGCCCTCGCCGGCGATGTCCTGTTCCAGGCGGGCAAGGGCGCAACCTGCAGTCCCAGAGCCCCGACGTCGTGTTTTTTTGACAACGTCGACTCCCAGAGGTCTGGACCCTTTCCTCGGGCCCGGTTTGTTACCCCGAGTCCTTTTTGACGGTCCTGAGGCCCAGGTGAGGGCCGGCGGAGGCTGAAAATAGCGAGAAGTTTCCCGTCGCGATTCTTCCACCACGCGCGGGGGTCTGGGGATGACGAGGAGGAGGAGGAGGAGGAGGAGGAGGAGGAGGAGAAGGAGGAGGATGGAGGAGGAGGAGGAAGGGGGAGGAGGAGGAGGAAGCCGAAAAGGAGGAGGAGGGGCGGGGGGTGAGGAGGAGGAGGAGGAGGAGGAGGAGGAGGAGGAGGAGGAGGAGGAGGAGGAGAGGAGGAGGAGGAGGAGAAGGAGGAGAGATGAGGAGGAGGATGAGGAGGCGGAGGAGGAGGAGGAGAGGAGGAGGGAGGAGAGGAGGCGGAGGAGGCACAGGAGGAGAGGAGGAGGAGGAGGAGGAGGAGGAGGAGGAGGAGGAGGAGGAGGAGGCGGAGGTGGGAGGAGGCAGGAGGAGGAGGAGGAGGAGGAGGAGGAGAGGAGGAGGAGGAGGTGAGGAGGGGGAGGAGGAGGAGGAGGAGGAGGAGGAGGAGGAGGAGGAGGAGGAGGAGAGGAGGAGGAAGGAGGAGGAGGAGGAGGAGGAGGAGGAGGAGGAGGAAGGGGAGGAGGAGGGAGGAGGAGGAGGAGGAGGAGGAGGAGGAGTAGGAGGAGTGAGAGGAGGAGGAGGAGGTGGAGGAGGAAGGAGGAGAAGAGAGGAGGAGAGGAAGGACGAGGAGGAGGAGGAGGAGGAGGTGGATGAGGGGGAGGAGGAGCGAGGAGTAGGAGGAGGAGGTGGAGGAGGAGGGAGGAGGAGGGAGGAGGAAGAGGAGGAGGAGGATGAGGAGGAGGAGGAGGAGGAGGAGGTAGGAGGAGGAGGAGGAGAGAGGAGGAGGAGGCGGAGGCAAGGACTAGGGAGATAGGAGGAAGGAGGCCCCCGAGGCCGAAAGTAACGAAAAGCCTCCCGTCGTGATGTCTTCACACCGCGAGGGGGTCTGGGGCTGCAGCAGTACACCGACCCCGGTCGGGCCGCGCCCGGGCCCCGGGCTCGGCATGCGCGGGCCCTCTCCTGGCCATGGCCGGGCGAGGCCCTGCGCACCGACCCTTGGGGCCCAGGCTCGGTGCTCAGGCCGTCGTCGTCGGCGTCTTCGCTGCAGCTGTCGCCGTCGCCGTCGCCGCCGCCGCCGCCGTTGCCGCCGCCGCCGCCGCCGTTGTCGCCGTCGTCGTCGCCGTCGTCGTCGTCGTCGTCATCGTCGCCGCCGTCGCCGCCGCCGCCGCCGTCGTCGTCGTCCGTCGCCGCCGCCGCCGTCGTCGCCGTCGTCGTCGTCGTCGTCGTCGTGGCCGTCGCCGCCGCCGCCGCCGCCGCCGCCGCCGCCGCCAGTGCGCACCGCCGGCGCCCCCGCGGCAGGCGGGCGAGGCGTGCGGGCGCGCTCGCCTCGCCCTCCACGGCCGGCTCGCGTACCGCCTCGGGCGGCCGCCCGAGGCGCCGGACGCGGCGCCGAGCTTGGAGTGCTGCCTGGCGGGCGGCGCGGCGCCGGCGGCCTCCGCCGCGGAGGTGGGCGAGGACAGCTCGGGGGTCGGGGAAGCCCTGACAGGATCGCGTCGCAATTAAAAAAACAGCAGCAATAATAACAACAACAACAACAACAACAACAACAACAACAATCAGTTGACCCTCATGCGCCATGCTTCCACATGTCACATGCGTCCTTCTGGGCACCACACCTCATCATGGGGGACTTTGTTGGCATGCGGGGTCCGATATTCTCTTACCCAGATCTCCCACCCAAGAAAGTATTGCCACCACCTCTTCCGCGGAACTTTGACATCCACAGCGCGGACGGCACATCGCCATCGCAATCGCCTTGCGCACGCCCCGCATCTCGGAGGAGGGGGAAGAGGACGAGGAGGGGAGGGAAGATGGGGGAGAGGAAGAGGGAGAGGAGGAGGATGAAGGAGGAGGAGGGGGATGAATGAGGAGTAGTTGTAGTAGCAGTACCTCCGAGGACGAGGTGGTTCTTACTCCTCGTTCGAACTGTTACGCAACCATCCTGCGGCCTCGGCGCGTGACCCTGGTCACGCCCCCAGGCGCTGCCGCTCCCGCGATCGCATCCTCCACGTGCCCCTTCCACACCCTCTCAAGGAATTCCTGCAGTCAATCCTTCGGCCCCCCGATCCTTGAAGTCCCTGAGAGTCATCCGTCCTTCTCCTTCTCCTCCTCCACACTATTCATGCTCTCCAGCAGTGTTAGTTATATAATAGTTGAGGTTCAACAAGGACTCTTGGAAGCCCCTAAAAGGCGACGCCAAAACGAGGGCCCCAGTTTTGAGTAAAAGGTGAGGAAGTATCAAACGGGGGCGACGAGGGAGGACGGAAGGGGAAGGGAGGGGAGGAGGGTGGCAGGAGGAGGGAGGAGACAAGGGGGACGACAAGGGAAAGGAGGACACGGGAGGAGGGGGGGAGGGAGAGAGGCAAGGAAAGAGGGCGGGAGAGGGAGGAGGGAGGAGGGGGGAGGAGGGGTGGAGCGAGAGAGAGAGAGAGAGAGAGAGAGATGAGAGAGAGGAGAGAGACGAGAGAGAGAGAGTGAGGGTGGAGAAGAGAGAGATGAGAGAGAGAAAGAACGAAGAAGAGAAAAAAAAGAGAAAGAGAGGGAGAGAGAGAGAGAGAGGAGGAGGAGGAAAGAGGGGGAAGGAGTGGGGAGGACGACGAGGCGGAGGAGGAGTAAGAGAAGGGCGAAAAGAGGGGGAGGAACGAACACGAAGAGGAGGAGGAGGAGGAAGAGGAAAAGAGGAGGGGGAGGAGGAGAGGAGGAGGAGGAGGGAGGAGGAGGGAGGAGGATGGATAGGAGGAGGAGGAGGAGGAGGAGGAGGAGGAGGAGGAGGAGCATGAGGAAGGAGGAAGGTTGAAAGGACGGAGGACGAGAGGAGACGGAGGAGGTGAGGAGGAGGTAGGGAAGGACGAGGAGGAGAGGGAGGAGGAGGGGAGGAGAAGGGGGAGGGCGGAGGAGGGAGGAAAGAGGGGCGGAGAATTCGGGAGGAGGGAGGGACGGAGACGAGGAGGGCCGTGAGGAGGAAAAGGAGGAAGAGAGGGAGGGGGGAGGAGGGAGGAGGACGGGATGATGATGATGATGATGATGATGATGATGATGATGATGATGATGATGATGATGCATGATGATGATGATGAGGAGGAGGAGGAGGAGGAGGAGGAGGTAGGAGGAGGAGGAGGAGGAGGGAGGAGGAGGAGGAGGAGGAGGAGGAGGAGGAGGGTTGGGGGGAGGATGGAGAAAGAGGAAGATGAGGAGAGAGGAGGAGGAGGAGTGAGGGAGGAGGAGGAGGAGGAAGAGGAGGAGGAGGAGAAAAGGGCGCCAATCCAGCGAAAAACGGGAGGAAAGTCTATGGCGGGAGCTCTGGTTTTGTCGGGGCGGGGGGGGGGGGGCTGTCGGCGGCGAGCGAGAGCGCCGCCTTGAGTAAAAAAGGGAGGAGGTCTCGAGCGGGAACATTGTTGTTGCTGGGGGGGCGGCGCCCATCAGAGAAAGAGTAGCGCGCCTACCGGAGGAAGTCTCGAGCGGGAAAGCTGGTTTTGTTGAGACGGCTGCATTCGGCCGCGAGCAAGAGCACCGATCCTGAGTAAAAAAAGAGGAAGACTCGAACGGGAGCGTTGTTGTTGTTGGGGGGCAGGTTTTGGCGGTCCCCCAAGCCGCTTGAGAGCGAACTTCATTTTCAATGAAAGTGCAGCCGACGCCTCGGCGAGAGCGCAAGGGCGCCTGTAAGGGGTCAATCAGTAATAATTGTTTCGCTATTAACATTCAACAGCAGCAACAATAACAGCAACAACAGCAGCAACAACCATAGCAACAGCAGCAACAATAACAGCAGCAACAACAGCAGCAGCAACAACAACAGCGGGAGGTTTTTTCCCCCCCGTTTTTGCCCTCGGGGGGCCTTCGCCGGGCCTTGGGGCCGTCAAGAAACTGTTCAGGAGGAAGGACCGGTCCCGGGGAGAGGGTCGGGACTTCCAGGGACCCCGTGTCGAAAATATGCGGGCGTCGCATGTCTGGGAGCGTAGGACTCAAATGCGCTGGAAGTCGGTTTTGCCGACGCCTGTTGGCGAGCGCGTCCTGCATTTTGACGGTCCAGTTTTCGTGGGAGGTTTGCAGCGGGAGCTCGCGCCAAATTTCAAGTTGGTCCTCGCGCCGATGTGCATGATGCCCCGGCAGGCCCACCCGAGCGAACCCCCACCACAAGCTAGCCCAGACATGCGAGGTCCTGATTTTTCCAATGCGGGGTCCTTGGAAGTCCCGACCCTTTCCCCGGGGCTGGCTTTTCCTCCTGAGCCGTTTCTTGACGGCCCCGAGGCCCAGCGAGGGCCCGCAGGGGCCGAAAAGAGCCAAAAACTTCCCGCTCCCCGATTTTTTAACTACGCGATTTTGTCTGGGGCCAGGGGAGCTGGCCGCTACCCCCCCCGGAACTGGCGGCACTCCGTGCCGGGCGCGTTCTATCGGCGCTGCATCGCCGACGCGGCGCGATCCTCCGACCCCATCTACGAACGAGCGCGCTCGTGGCACACTTCTCACTAAAACGGGGGCCCCAGTTTCAAGCTGCCCCCCACCTCCCTTGGAGAAGGGGGGGGGACTTCCGAAACTGCCCCCCCCTCCCTTCATTTTGTGGGCATGTTTTCGTTGGAGGGGCCCCAGCTGAAGAGGGTTGGGCTTGGAAGCTACCCCCCTCCCCCCCCTTTTCGGGGCCCGGGGTCAGCCAGGGTTCTCCTTTCAAAAGGGGAGCGGGGGGGGGGCTTCCGCAACTAGTCCCCCCTTGTCATTTTCTTTGGATTTTGTAGCTGGGGGGTCCCTGGCTGAAGGGGGGGGACCTTGGAAGCTGCCCCCAGTTCTTTTTCGGGGCCCGGGCTTAGCCCAGGCTCCCCATTCCAAAGGGTGGGGAGTTTCCGAAGCTACTCCCCCTTCCCTCCTTCTGTTGGCTTTTCCAGCTGGAGGGCCCTGGCTGAAGGGGAGGCTTCGAAGCTACTTTTCTTTTTTGATTTTCGGCGCCTCGTTGATTTTCAGAGTAATCGTGGTTTTCGGCGTTTTTTTAGTGTTCGGCGCCTCTTTGGTATTCGGCGCCCTTTGAGCCTTTGGCGCTCCTTTGGTTTTCGGCGCTCCGGTTTTCGGCGTTCTTTTGGTTTTCGGTGTTTTTGTGTTTTTCGGTGCCCCGTTGGTTTTCGACGCCCATTTTGGTTTTCTGCGCACTCTTTGGTTTTCGGCACGTTGTTGGTCGTCGGCGCCCTTTTGGGTTCCAGCGCCCCTTTGGTTTTCTGCACGCTCTTGGTTTTCGGAGCCCTTTTGATCTTTCGGCGCCTTTTTCGTTTTCGGCGCGTTTCGTTTTTTCGGCGCCCTTTTGGTTTTCGGCGCTCTGCTGATTTTTCGGCGCCCCTTTGGTTTTCGGCGCCTCTTCGGTTTTTTGTTCCATTTTCGATGTTCGGCGCTCCCGCGGTTTTCGGCACTCCTTTGGTTTCTGGCGTTTTTTTGTTTTCGGCGCATGACCCGTCTTCGGAGCTTCTGTTGTTCTTGGCGCCCCTTTCGTTTCTGGCGCCTTTTTGGTTATCGGCGCCCCTTTGGGTTTGGGCGTCCTTCGGCTTTCGGCGCACCTTTGGCTTTTGACGCCCTTTGGTCGTCGACGCCCGTTTGGTTATCGGCGCGTCTTTGGTTTTTCGGCGCCCTTTTGGGTTTCGGCGCTCTGTTGGTTTTCGGCGCCCCTCTGGTTTTCGGTGCCCCTTTGGTTGTCGGCGCTCCTGCGGTTTTCGGCGCTCCTGCGGTGTTCGGCACCTTTTGGTTTTCGGCGCCCTTCTTGTTTTTGGCGCCCTGCCCGTCTTTGGGGCTTCTGTTGTTTTCGGCGCCCCTTTCGTTTTGGCGCCCTTTCGGCTATCGGCGCCTCTTTGGTTTTGGGCGCCCTGTTGGTTTTCGGAACATCGTTGGTTTTCGGCGCCCCTTTGGTTTTCGGCGCTCCTGTTGGTTTTCGCCACCATCGGGTTCTCGGCGAACCTTTGGCTTGGTTTGGTTTTCGGTGCCCTTCAGGTTTTCGGCGCCTTTTTTAGGTTTCCGGCGCATCAGTGATTTTCGGCGCCTTTTTTGTGTTCGGCGTTTTTGTGGTTTCTGTCAGCCTTGTACTTTTCTGCGCCCCCTTGGTTTTCGGCGCCCCTTTTGGTTCTCGGCGCTTTTTCTGTTTTTGGCGCTGCTTTGGTTCTCGGCGCCTAGGTGGTTTTCAGCGCCCCTTTGTTTTGTCGGCGCTCCTTGGTTTTCGGTGCCCCTTTGGTTTTCGACGCCCCTTTAGTTGTCGGCACCGTTTCGGTTTTCGGTGCCCTCGTGGTGTTTGGCGACCCTTTCGTTGTCGATGCCCTATTGATTTTCGGCGCCCCTTCTGTTTCCCGCGTCCTTTCTAAGTTCGGCGCCCCTTTGGTTTTGCCACCCTTTTGGGTTTCTGTGCGCCTTTGTTTCTTCTGCGCCTTTTTGGTTTTCGGCACTGCTCGGACTTTCGGTACATCTGCTGGATTTCGGCGCCTCTTTAGTTTTCGGCGCACAGCTGGTTTTCGGCGCCCCTTTTGGCTTTCGGCGCCTCGTTGGTTTTCGGCGTTCGTTGGGTTTTCGGCGCCTTATGGTTTTCGCCGCACCGTTGCTTTTCGGCGCTCTTTTTGGTTTCCAGCTTTTGGTTTTCGGTTCCCGTCTGGTTGTCGGCGCCCTTTGAGTGTTCGGCGCCCCTCTGATTTTCGGCGCTATTTTGGTTGCCGGCGCCCCTTTGGCTTTTGCCGCCCTTTTGGGTTCCTGTGCCCTTTGGTTTTCAGGGCTCTTGTGGTTTTCGGCGCCTCTTTGGTTTTCGGCGCCATTTTTTGGTTGTCGGCGCCTCTTTGGTTTTCGGCGCCCCGCTGGTTTTTCGAGACTTCTCGGGTTTTCGGCGCTGCTTTGCTTTTCTGCGTTCGTTGGGTTTTTCGGCGCCTTTTGGTTTTCGCCGCGCCGTTGATTTTCGGCGCTCTTCTGGTTTTTGGCTTTCCTTTTTGGTTTTCGGCAACCGTTTGGTTGTCGGCGCCCTTTGAGTGTTCGGCGCCCCTCTGATTTTCAGCACTCCTGTGGTTTTCGGCGCCCCTTTGGTCTTTGCCGACCTTTTAGGTTTCTGTGCCCTTTGGTTTTCGACGCTCTTTTGGTTTTCAGCGCCTCTTTGGTTTTCGGCGCACAGCTGGCTTTCCAAGCCTTATCGGGTTTTCCGCGCCTCTTTGCTTTTCTGCGTTCGTTGGGTTTTCGGCGCCTTTTGGTTTTCGCCGCCCCGTTGATTTTCGGCGCTCTTCTGGTTTTTGGCTTTCCTTTTTGGTTTTCGGCAATCGTTTGGTTGTCGGCGCCCTTTGAGTGTTCGGCGCCCCTTTGGTTTTCGGCGCTCCTTTGATTTTCGGCGCCTCTTTGGTTTTCGGTGGCCTCTGGGTTTTCGGCACACCTTCTGTTTTCTGTGCCCTTTCGGTTTTCGGCATTCCTTCGGTTTTCGGCGCGCCTTTGGTTTTCACACCCTTTCGGTTTCTGGTGGCTCTTTGGTTTTCGGCGATCTGTTGGTTTTCGGCGCCCTTTGGTCTTCGGCGTTCCTTCCTTTAGCCAAGGGGGGGTGGGGCTTCCAAGCCTCCGCCCTCCTTTAGCCCAGAAGGGGGGGAGGGGGGGGGCTTCCGGCAGGGAGGGTTCAAAGGTGAGGATGGTAGCTAAGCCCCCCCCCTTTTGGAAGGGGAGGTGGGAGGGGGGTGTACTGAAGGTTCGCGTCGTGTCGACCAGCGGCCACCCCTCCGTGGGCGTTCAAGGTTGAACGTCACCGGCGACCCAGAATCGGTCGACGTTGAACGGCTTGACGTCTCGGAAACGGTCGATCGTTCAAGGTTGAACGATCCCCGCGGTGTCAGGAACCAACGCCGAAGTCGACACGACAGGAACCTGCCCTATAGGGCCAGGAGGAGGAGGAGGAGGAGGAAGAGGAGGAGGAAGAGGAGTACACTGTAGCCGAGCTTGAGGACCTAGCGCCGGGGTCCTCACGACGCGAGGCTGCCGTAGCTTCCGAGGGGCGGGAACGAAAGGAGCGGGGGGGGGCTCCCGCAGGGGAGGCCCCAGGGGGGGGGGGGGGGAAGCGGGGCCCCCCTCCCTCCCTCTCCCTCCTCCTCCGCCTCCCTCCTCCTCCTCCTCCTCCTCCTCCTCCTCCTCCTCCTCCTCGTTCTCCTCCTCCTCCTCCTCCTCCTCCTCCTCCTCCTCCTCCTCCTCCTCCTCTCCCGTTTGGACAGGGAGGCGGGGGGGGAAGCTTCGGGAGCGCGAAAGGGAGGGGAGGGGATGATTTTCGAGGGGCGGACAGCAAGGAAGGAGGGGGGGGGGGCTTCGGGCAGGGGAGGTCCGAGGGAGGGTTGGGGGGGGCTACGCCCCCCCAAAGGCCCAAGGGAGGACCCCAGCCCCCCCCCCCCCTCCCCCCCCCCCCCCCCCCCCCCCCCCCCACCCCCCCCCCTCCCCACCCCCCACCCCCCCCCCTCCCCCCCCCCCCCCCCCCCCCCCCCCCCCCCCCCCCCCCCCCTTGGGAGTGTACCGCGGGCGCGCCCGCTCCCATCCACTCGGACTCTAGTCCCAGACCCCCGACGTCATGATTTTTTCAACGTCGACCCGCAGAGGTCTCGACCCCCTTCCCTGGGACCGGATTTTCATCCTGAGTCGTTTGTTGACGCTTCCGAGGCCCGGCGAGGGCTCCCAAAGTTTGAAAATAGCGATAAACCTCCCGTCGTGACTTTTTCACAACGCGAGGGGGTCTGGGGTTGCGAGGCCTCCGGAGGAGCTGCTGGAGCGCGGGACTCTCGTCAGCGAGGCGGCCCTGTGGGTGGAGTGGGCGACGCACGGCGCGCTGCTGGCGGTCCCTCCGAGGAGGGCCAGCGGAGCCCTCGGCAGCTGGCCCTGGGGGGGACCTCCGCGTCGACACGGCTGGACGCCGCTCGAGAAACTGGTGCGTTCCCAGACCCCCTCGTGAAAAATCACGACAGTTCTCTAGTGTTTTCGGCCTCGTCAAAAAAACGGTTCAGGACGGAAAGCCAATGCCGGGGAAGGGTTCCAGACCTCTGGGGGTCGACGTTGTGAAAAAATCACGGCGTCGGGGGTCTGCGTTTGGACCTTCAGGTCGGGCCCAGGCGCCGATTTTTGGGTTGCAGGTGTCTCAACGCGCCACCCTCCGAGGTCACGGAGGCCGAGCTGCTCTGGACCTCAACGGCGGAAAGCGTACCGATGCCGTCGCTCTTGCCTCGCTTCTGTCCTGTTGGGCCTCCCAGGAGGCCCTCGTCGCCAGGGCTGGATTCGATTTGGGTTCCTGGTCAGAACGCCCCCCCCCGGAGAGGTCCGCCGGCGAGTAACGGTAAGGGTACTTCTTGGTTTCCACAGGACCGACGCCGAGCAGATGGCGCCCTTGCTGCGCAGGCGCCCTTGAGAGGAAGAATCGCCCTCAACCGAAAACGACGCCCATGCACAAAGTTATGTTTGAAACCCCTCCAGGCCCCGCCCCGACGCAGCACTGTGCACACTTTTCCAGTCTTGAGGGCCAAACGCTTGTGTACTCTACCATTCGTGGGTCGAAGATCGACGACGCCTCGGGAGACGCCAACGCGGCACGGTGTGCACACGTCTTCCGCGGTCAGAAGCATAAGTTCACGGGGGTCCGCGCAGACTAGTAGTAGTAGTCGTAGTAGTAGTAGTAGTAG